AGCCCTACTTTTTGCGGTTGAGAGTATTGCAACTTCAACAGAGGGAGCATCATGTACAGATGTGGCATCAGGCTGGAACATTCCAACAAAAGTTAAACAAGTGGAGTAAAAACAGGTGAATCAAATTGATTTTGGGAGGAAAATTACTTCCTTGTCATTGGCAAGTCCTCCTGCTAAGGTTTCACTTGTTGATGTATTAAAAGTTATTGAAGAAGCTGGTTCATCATCGGTGCTAATGAGAGTGGTAGAGCCCTTTGCTACTGCAATCGCTGAATCAATGTAAACCGAAATTAAAATATCTAATAATCCCTATACACAATTGTATCAACATAAATATGAAGCTTATAATCATGAGGAACTTCTTCGTGAAGCAGATAAATTAGTTGTGTTTGTATCCAGCGAAGAGTGTGATTTGATTGAAACTGCCACAAGAAGCCAGAGCAAATCGAATGAGTGGTTTTTGCAGAGAACAGGCAGGATTACTGCATCAAAATTTAAAGAAGCATGCTGTACTAAACTTGAAAAACCATCAATATCATTAGTGTAATCCATTTGCTACCCCCTGAAATTTCAATTTAGGTCCAAAGCAACCGACTGGGGAAAGCTAAAAGAAAAAGTGGCATTGCAGGCCTATCTCAATTATATGAATCAGGACCATACTGATATTACAATTACAGAAAAAGGACTGATTCTGTCTGAAGAATATCCCCAGTTTGGAGCTTCGCCAGATGGCATAGTTGAATGTAGTTGTTGTGGTCGTGGTTGTATTGAGGTAAAATGCCCATTTCTCCTCAAAAACCTGACTTTGGAGGAATTTGCGATGAAAAAGGGCACTTGTTTAGAAGTGGTAGAGGGAAATTTAGGGATAAGCAACAAACATTCATATTTCTATCAAATGCAGCAGCAGATGGCTTTAAGAAAAATTTCCTATTGCGATTTTGTAGTTGGTCCCCAACGGAGTTGTTTGTCCAAAGAATCTTATTTAATGAAGATTTTTGGTGGAGTCAATGTGCGAAAAGTTTGGAATTCCACGAAAGGGTCATCATGCCAGAGCTTCTTGGGAGATTTAACACCAAAACTTCATTGCCATTTGAAACCTGGTGCATCTGTAAGATGATTGACGATGGCAGACACATGATAGAATGTGGTGACAGCGACTGTGATGTTAAATGGTATCACATGGATTGCCTTAATTTGCAAGAAGTACCAGACATTTTCTGGTTATGTCCAAGTTGTTTAGGGGTGTAGTGTTAAGCATTTATTGTTTTTTTATTATGTAGTATTACTATTGTTTCAATGTTTTTTTTTTGTAATCTGGCAAATTCATATGTATGTACATTGGGTGGTATGAATAAAAACGAAGTAGCCGCTACTGCTAGAAGTATTAGTATGTTCTACGTAGTATTTACTTCAAACTGAAGTATGTAGATAGATCGTTTTGAAGTAAATACTACGTAGAACATACTAACATACTAATACTTCTAGCAGTAGCAAGAACTTCGTTTTTATTCATACCACCCATTGTATAGGTATGTAGGTATATAAGATTCATAACAATATTAAAAGCTATTATCTTCTAAAGTCTGATTTTATTTCATGGCTCGATTATCCCTGTGAAGTCCGCTCCTTGAGACTCTCAATTATCCATTCTCAATTTGAGAATCCATTTCATGTGTGAACCTAGTTTACCCCCCCCCCCCCCCCCCCCCCAAAAAAAAACTTTTTGAGAAACCATTTATTGAATTTAAAAAAAAAAAAAAACTTATTCTAAAGGTACTATTAGAGGACATAAGTTTATAAGTACACAGCAAACATTAACTATTTCATCCAATATAGGTTCTTGGAGAAATGTTGATAGGGTGGTAATTGTTACAGGTCCACAAAGAATTTTATATTTCAACCTTATCAAACCGATTACACGTTCTATGTGTATTCGTACATGAGCAATTGCTCGAGTCTTTTCCAGGTCAATTGGATGTAATTGATCCTTGCCTCGTGTGAATGCCGGAACTTTAACAGACGCCCTAAAAAGCTCAACAAATTCTTTTATTAAGAATCCCCTATCAGCCATAACAACAACTCCTGCTTTTAAATTATTTAAAAAAAAAGAGTTTTAGGTTATTATTTTATCCGAAGTTCTGCCACCCCACCCTTCACTTATAAAACATATGGATCCTTGAGGAGTTATTCCAATTAAATATTTTATTGTTTGGCTATGTTTATAATTTGACCAACATTCAGCGGCAGCTAATAAGTCTGAGGGCCTTTCACATTTTATTTCAAAACAGTCAATAATAACTGTGGTTTTTTCATGGAATGACTCTTTAAAACAAGCTGGCATTGTTTTCATGAGAATTTCCCTTTCAGGCCAAACAATGAAATCTTTGAAAGCTACATACATATTGTGTAATATATTTTTAAAGTAAGTTGATGCAGTAAACGGGCTTACACCAAACCTATATGAAATATCTTTAAAATCTAAATTCAAGCGCAACTTAACAAGAATTAAAAGAATTTGTTGAGGAACCGGTAAACACATATTTGGATGGACATTAATCAAAGGTGAAACATGCTTAACTATTATATTAAAAACTTTAAAACTAGACAGTCCATTAAAATAACATATTTTGTTTGCATGTTATCGTTTTCTAAATTTTTAACAGTTAGAGTAACTTTCTGTAATTTCACAATTTTTTCATTGGCAATAGCTATATTTAAAAGTTGATTTGTGATATCCTGTACAGTTAAAGATGTCTGGGTACATTTTGACACATTATTCAGATTCAATGTTTCTTCTACACTTTCTTCCATCCAGGATAAAGATGTTTCAGGAACTTGAATAACTGCATCAGGAACCTGAATAAAATATTACTCTATCAATAAGAGGAAATTAAAGACAGTAACGATTTGTTAGAGAAACAAATCACAGAAATAATGTATAAATTACTTGCTCAAACTTTGGCCTGCGCTTTGGCTGTGTTTTGAATATCCACAATACCTACTGCCTGTGTCTGTTTACATTATCTATAAACAAATCCATTTACCTACCTGTCTTACAATCTGACTTTCTTCAACACAGCTTTTTCCTTTTTCTTTCAAACCGATCCATTTTAGTGTAGCTTGAAGTTTCTCCATATTTAGTGTAGCCCATATTTTGGGATGGGACCCAATCTGGATTGGGATCATCAATTAATTCTGCCGGTTTTCCTACAAATAAGAACACCCAACCCGATTACTCAAGGAACAAATAATTGTATTTAGCTACATGAAAATTACCTGTAATGAAGTGTCTAGAACAAACAAATGCGAATTTTAACTTTGTTTCCGTTAAGTCCTCCCTTTTTATAGCTTTCAACCATCTTTCTCGTCGCAAACGTGAAAGTTCATTAAGGTGCTTTTTATTTTTATAATTTAAAACTGCAGGCAAACGAAAGAAACTCAGTTTATCTCGCACATTGTTACTACCACATTTAACCACACAGCAAAACACCATATTATTGTCAAATTTTTTAAATTAGTACACAAATTAAAAGAAAAGAACATAGAAAACCATTTATTTTGCCATAATACCACATACAAAATTATTCTTTATTTACGGTACAAGCTATAAGAACAGCTGATTTTGACGTTAAGGTGACAGCGTTCTGAATCGACCTATATACTTAAACAAATATTCGGACTATGGTCTAGCATTAATTGGTTTCTATACATAAAATCAATTTTCAATGTCGATGAGAAGAACAATTGCTTTTTATATATGAAATCAAACACATTCGAGAATCTATATATTCCACCACGTGCATATGAAATTTCAGATCTCAATCGTATCATAAAAACAGTCCTTAAAACATCATCCATTACATTGGAGTTGAACCTTTTTTTTCTTTCTTGGGAGCAGTATGCAACTAGCAAATCAGTTTGCGTCGTGCACTCGAATTGTTCGAACCTAGTTTTTGGTTATTTGAATATCGTTTTTTTTTTTTAATTCGAGATGTCTAACATCGATGAAGGAATTGAAACTGACGAACAGTTAAATAGTGTGAACGACAATAGTTGGTATTTTTTTCTATCGCCAGAACAAAGCGATGTGTCATATTGCAGATATATGACCTACGCGAGTGTTAATAATTATCCGGTTTGTGAGATATGTGTGAGGAACATGGAAAGTCCTCCATGTAGTAGAGTGTCGGAACATAAGACCGTACCTCTGGATTATTTAGGGAAAAAGACAAGTTGTTCAAATTGTGGTAGAAATGTATACTACTTCGTTCCGACAATCAGTTGCTTAATATGCAACAATGCTCGCCAGGTTATTCTGCGCGAGCATAATTTACCCAAAAATCCACCATCATGTGACCATAATTTACTACAAAGACGAAGTAGGTAAGTATGAAAAAAAACAACAAATTTTAAATCATTTTCAGCAAACTGTATTAATAATTGAGGGGGCAAGTGGATGAAGGGGTTATGTGACATTTTTTGAAAAATAGCGATTTTGTTGTGGATGAAGGAGTTATGTACATATGTAACTTGTCTCCGATCCCTTTTAACGCTACCTGTCTGATTTAAACAGATATGAAGTAGTAAGAAGGGGCCATGTTACAAAACTTATTGACTCTGTTGTGAAAGAAGGAGCTATGCGCCCATAAGCCTTTCATCTGCTTCACAACATCAGCTAAGTTATTGTGAAAAAAGGGGCTATGTACCCATGACCCCTTCATCCAACTTATCAATATTATATTTTTAGGAAAAGTACTGTGAATGATGGGACTATGTACCCATAACTCCTTCATGCACTTAGAAATCATCATATTGCGAAATTATTTTAATATGGTGAAAGGATTATATGTGCACAAAACCCCTTCTTACGTGACCGTGTGCCGTGTTGGCGTTGTTTATTTTTTCATAATGAGGCGTGCATAATGTGCAAGTGCTAGTTACCTAACCTCAAAATTTGTTGTGCTGTGTTTTGCTCCAAATCAAATTATTATTAATGAAAAATGTCATCACGCGGAAAATTAATGCTTCAAATGGTGAAAGAGATGAGCGAGGAAACTACTGAATGTGAGCCCCAAAGTGAAAATAATATAAAACCTAAGAGTCAAGGTAAGGAATATTTGCTTTGTTGTTACTAGATTAGATTAAATTAAGTCAAAAATGTGTAGGTACCTCAGAAATTAAAGAAGTACAAATTGAACCCACTTTTTTGCTAAATTGTGATGATGTACAATTTGAAGCAGAATCGAGTTCAATCATACAAAGTCAAAAAACACCAGAAAATACTTCTTTTTTGCAACAAGAAAACCAAGCAAATCCAAGTCAGGGTATGTGAATATGTCACAAATAAAATAATATCACATAGGTACCTATTTTCTTTTCACTTTTAGTTTTTTCTTTGGAGCCTTTGCAACAAGAAAACAACAATGTAACCACAAGCAGCATTGATTCTTCACATCAGAATATTTTGGGTGAAAATATATGTATGTATTTATGTACATTTATACTTATTATCATAGTAAACACCTGTTATAAAAAAAATTAGTTTATTCTGTGGCACCTTTGTTTGAAGATGATAGTGAGGAATGTAACAATGCAGCCAAAATCATATCTGATTCTCTGGATAATCAGCATGATATGCATAATGTGGCAGGTCCAAGTAGGGGTAGTTATTTTTATCAACACGATGATCATGAGGTGGAATTAGCTGATGGTAAGCTAATAAAAATATTATAGTGTAAGAGCGGCATTTGTGACAATATATTTTTTCATATTTGGAAGATGATAGTGACGACTCCTCATTGATTGGCGAATCAAGTGGTAGCGAATATGAACCTTCCGAATTAGAAAATGAGGAAAACGAACCAGAGGATGAGCAAGAAAACGAACCAGATGGAGAGCAAGAAAATGAACAACAAATTGCACATTGTAATGACGACACAGATTGTGAAGTTCCAAAGACCAATACAAATTTGACGAGTAGGGGCACAAAAAGGATTAAAACGTTCCCAGTTAAAGAAAAAACTTCAAGACGAAGGATAAGAAAGCCAGATACGTGGAAAAGGCGATCAGCAGCAATTAAAAGGGAAAGGGGAGAAAGTTACATTTCCTATAAAAATCAAAGCGTACCTGCAAAAACTTTCTGCTCTGAATGTTTATGCAATGAACGCTGTAGACTCAAATGCAGCACAAAGTTCGATTTAGATTCACGAAAACTAATATTTGAAGGCTTCTATAAACTTGACATAAACGCAAAAAATGCCTTATTGTTTAGAAGTATCACACCTTTACCCATTGTTCGTCAACGTAAAAATGCTATTAAGCATAAAACTTCTTCTTATAAATACAGCATGATATTAAATAACCAACAAGTGTTTGTGTGTAAATCAGCTTTTTGTGCCTTGTACCAAATAAGCCGTAAAAAAGTTGATATAATAAAAGAAAAGCTGAAAACTGGAAGCTCAGTCCCATCTAAAGATAGACGAGGTATTCATACAAACAGGCCCCACAAGATTAATGACGATGTAGAGCAAGCTATTATGACTCATATAAAAAAGTTTCCATCAGAGGAAAGTCATTACTCACGGGAAAGCAACCCACATAAGAGGTATTTAGCTCCAAATCGTAATATGTCACTTATGTATAGACTGTATATTGAAGAATGCAGAGAACAGAATATGCCTGGCTGCTTTTTAGTTAAAAAGTCAACATATTCAAGAATTTTCTCAACAAAATTCAATCTATCATTTTCTCATCCGAAAAGTGATACTTGCAGTAAGTGTGACGCTGGAAATTCAAATGCAGAACATGAAGAAAATGTTCAACTAGGCTTTCAGTTGATGTCCAGAGACCGCGAACGTGCTTTAAAAGATGAAAAGGTGTGCTACATAACGGTTGACTTACAACAAACTATGCCTTTACCGAAAATCACCACGTCTAAAGCATTTTATCTTAGACAGATATGGTTTTATAACTTGGGCATTCAAGTTATCACAACTGCAGGGCATAAATCAGTTATGCAAACCTGGACTGAAGATATAGCCGGCAGAGGAAGCACAGAAGTTGTAAGCAGCTTATAGAATTTTGTGCAAACTTGTGAAAACGTAAAGGACAAAGAACAGCTTGTTGTGTGGTCAGATTCATGTGCAGGCCAGAACAAAAATTTTCAATTTGCTTTTTCCAGCTATTGATTTTGAAAGGTGTTTTCAAAGTTATTGATCACAAGTTTCCAGAGGTTGGCCATACTTATTTAGACTCAGATCGAGACTTTGGTAGAATAGAGAAAGTTCTAAGGAAACAAAGCAATATTTATACCCCAGATCAATATAGGCAACTAATTAAAACAGCCTGCACAAGAAATTCGACGGTTAATGACATGGAATCATACTTTCGAGACGCTGAAAGTTTACCAAACAAAATGGGACTGATTCACAAAAAAAAAACGTTTTAAATGAAAAAGTTCCCTTTAGAGACGGCATTAAATGGATTCGGGTTGTTGAATTCGGAAGTTACCTATATAAGGAATCATATGATGAATATGTTCCCTTTAAGAAAGTTTCCCTATTCAAAAATAACTCTCCACCTGCAAACTATGTGCCTCCTACTGATATTGAGTTTCCTAGAATTGGTCACAAAAGAGGGAACATATCAGAAAAAAAAATTGCTAACATTCGTGAGCAAATGCCTTTTATCTTAGAAGAACATAGAGGCTTCTATGAAAATATCATTGGTATTCAAGAAGAGCCCAAGCCGAAAAAAGCACGACGTACCAAATAAATTTAATTATGCCTATATGTCTTTTGTTCACTTGAATTTGGTAATAAATTAATATGCCTATATGTTTTTTTTTTCACTTGAATTCAGTTTTATTGGAGTACTTGACCTACAATTTATGTTAATTTCGAATCTCATGACCGAAGCAGTATTATGAAAGAAGGGGTTATGTACATTCAATTATCATATTTCACCAGAAAAAAAATCAAAACTCAAAATCGATATGGGTATTAAAAATGCAAAGTTATCATTTCTCCCAGACAGTAGGTTTCAGTCCTAAACAATTTCTCTTAAAAAAAATGCAAATAGATAAACTAAAACTTAATTTATTCAGAAACTTTTTTTTGCCACATAACTCCTTCATCCACTTGCCCCTTCAATTTTTTTCATGCATATCAAAATAAATTTACGAAAAAAAAAAATCAATCAGTAGTTGTTGAATCTGCGTTCAACTCGCTATCATCTTCTTCGTGATGAGTTGGAACGACCCACCAAGTGCTATCTGCTGAACCATCATATTCTTCAAATGGTGATCCATGAATCCACCAGCTTGATGAGTCCGGTACTTTATCACCCCCAGTTGAATGTCCTCGTACCCATTTGGCCTCCATTCTCGCCTCCATTTTCCTCTTCGTGATTTTCCTCGGTAACCCATCGCTGTCCTTCTTGGAAAAATTCACTAGATGCGGACGAAAATATTTCGCTATCTGAAGAATAATCCACGTTGGGTGGATTAACTTCAAAGAGGCCTGAAACAGTTTCATCGTCTGATACGAACGACATTGTCGAAAATATTTTGATGGAATGAAATTCTTTGAGAGTCCACACTAGATTTTTTAAACCCCCCCCCCCCACACATGAGAAACCACATTTTTGAAATGTTGAACTCTCACTCCATACAATATAATTATTATCACCAAGGTAAACTTTTTTTTTACAACCGAAGTTATTCATTTATTAGTATTTTTTTTCACATACATTAGTTGCAAACATTGAAAAATTGAAAAATTAAAATAATGCTTTTTTTTCAACTTCTGAATTTTTTTTAATTGCAGCAAAATACAAAACAAAAATACACTTTTTATGTATACTCAATTTTTATTTTTAAAATACACTCAACAAATTCCACTATTAAACTAAACGAATATGTGAATAATTAATTATAAATTAACCTAAAATCGTAAAAGTGTGTAACAGGCCAAAACTGCACAACTAATTCTTACCTACCTTCAGTTTTCTATTCAAAATTTCCTTAAATTTGTCAACATTTTCTCTCTATAAAATTTCAAAAACAATCCCAACGTTTGTAGATCCTTCAAATTTCCTAATTTTTAATAGTCAAATTCTATTTGCTGTAATGATTTTTCCTCGTTTTTAATCCATATTTTAATTCAATTTCAAAATCCGAACAAATCAATATTTTGATTCCAACTTTTCATAACAAATAAATATTCATTGGTTTTCAAGTGTATGTACAGAACTAGTCCGTTCGTACTTACTCTGTTCGGTTATTGAGTTATTGATCTCGGAGCAAGTTCTGATGAACCCCGAGTCGATCATTGGTTCGATGGTCTTTGAGATATTTTGTGCACTATCCTTGCTTTCGGTTTTTTTTTACTTTTGAGTGTGAATAATTTCTGTCAACCGGCGGTCGATTAGTAATGTTTTTAGTATCGTCGATTCTTCTTTAAGCCCTCTAATTTTGCAAACGGATCACTTACTCTATGTTGTATTCTTCAAGTTTTGATTGTTTTATGGGATAATTATTTGTTGTTAATATCATTATTCGTCAGCCGTTGTCATTTTTCTCGGTTTGTATTGTTGTGTGTTTGGTAAGTAAGAATTCTATCGATTAATTTTTGACGTTTGTCGTTATCCTGCATCATCTCTGAATCTACGTTCAGGCTACTTGGTTGATTTTATCTGTAGCACATTTCTTTTCACGTTTGACTGTTTGAAGAAGCAGGTCCTTCAGAAGAATTATTTTTGTCTTCACCTTAAAAAGGGATTTTGGGCCTGATTTTCTTCTGAATTGAATTTATGGCACACTGAGTTACCTTGCGTTGTGTTTTACTTCGTGAAGTGCCATAATTTTCGCCGATGTTATCGGATTTAAAAAAAAGTCATTTGTGCTAAGTTGCTTACAGGTTTTTTCCCATAGTAGATTCAGACTTTTTCAATTCAATTATTAGTTGAGAGCTGCCCTAAAGAGTAGAGAATCATCTGTCACTCCAGGATATTCAATACAGACCTCGATCCAGGTTTCCGGAGATTTTCGAGGCAAACAAACCCTATTTCCAACAGGTAAAAACGTAACCTTATTAACTTCAATTTTTGCAAACTCGAGGCACATTTTCTTTAATTACTCTCAAAGCCTTATTATGATTCCATCTAATTTAATTAATTAATACATTATTGTTCAATTTTTCTATTAAAATAATTTTCGAGAGCTATAGTCTTTTATCAAGTAAATTTGCTATTGGAAGCTAATTGAGTTACATTATAGTTTCATTTTCTAATTCAACCTATTCATGAAGTGCTTCGCTACTGGATCAATTACAAATACAGTGTGTATAACAATTTTTCTCTTAGGGTTTTATTTTACCACCGAGTTTTTACTCCCGGTTACAATAGACGTTCAATCGTAACCGAAATTGAACTAAAAGGCTATCAGACACCAGCCTAAGTAATTGGACGGTTACTCAAGTCTTCAATCAACTTAACCACAACCAGTAGCCAGGACTAATCTGGTTAACTGTATCAACCACTACCACCTGGAACATTTTGGTATCGTACTAGTTTTAGTTAACCCATGTATTATTATTGTTTATTTACATTCTGTCCCTATTTGTACACCTCAGTGATCACTATTGATATTTCCGGGAGTAATTCATTGTTTTCCCCAATGTGGCAAATGAATTATTAAATAGGTAACTTAGCTAGACATAACCTGATTAATTTATGTCAACTTACTGGTAGTTCTGGTTACGTAAGTGTAAGATAACCGTTCCGAGAACTGATTCTTTGTTATTGGTTTTTTTCTTATTTTCTTTATTTTTTTTTTTGATTTTCAAACCTTACATTTCATGTATACCTTTTTTTTATCACTCAGTTAGTTATTGAGTTTCAATAACATTTTCACAGTCAAATTTAATTGTTATAACTATAGCTATTATTCCAATAGTAGCCGTATTTGTCGCTGTATTTGTCGATTGACCCTTCCTCAAAAGGTCACTCCATTTATTAATTAATGATAGCTCCAGTGATTGTTCTTTCTCTTAAATAGTTTTTTTCTAGTTTCTTTTTCAAATAGTTTTCGTAGATATTATTGAAAATTTACTTGATTATTTTTGTTTCAAAATTATTATCACAATACATATAGTTCATTGTGGACTGCGGCCATTTGGTAATAAATATACTATGGCACTTGATTAATTGACTTTTATTTGGTTTTATGCACACAGCCTGGTTTTTGCTAATATTTTTTTTTTTTAATTATTATTTGAATTGTAAGGACCTGAAGGCAGATACCATCCTGGAGAGTCCGACTCATCTGTTCAGAGTCGGTGGCGCCCAAATCTAAAAACCCACCCCTACTCTCCGAATTATTTAGTTCTGAGCTAGGGCATAATTTGCACGCACTTCGACCTTCAGTCCTACAATCTCAAGTTCTCCATTCATTTATTTTTATTTATTTTTTTTATTTATTTATTTTTTTTTTTATTTTTGACTTTTATTATTTTTTATTTTTTTTTAATAAACTTTTTAATCAGCGAAAAAGCGTGGCAAGTGTAAGAGGCAATACCTGTGAATAGTGAATATGGAGAAAACTAAAAATTTAAATGATCTAATTGCCTCTTACACTTTTCCATGGCTGCTTCATGGCGTCTCATTTGATTTTGGTGTTCCCAGGATGTCCCGTTTCAATCCAAGCACTTGCTCCATAACATTTCGGTGTTTCTTATCTTCAAAATAATTGAACCATTTGGGAGGCGCTGGATTGTTTTCTGAATAGGAAACTTCTGGTAGTGCGATTGATTCTGTTGGATCAACTAATCTCTGGGTCTTCGGGGGCTCGCCAGTCAAATCTGTGGATGCCGTTCTTTTAGGCTTCCAGCACTTCATCGCAATTATGTTCACACGTGGCGACTTCGGTGGTGATTTTTTCTGACCAGTTTTTCTCGCTTGTTGACGACGAGGTACACTGGATGCTCTGGAATTTGTTTTGCTGTTTCTGTTGATGGTATTGATTCTAGCGTTGCAGTACCTGCATTGCCCTGTCCAAAGGTTTCCGACTCTGTTATGGCAGGATCCAATGTTGCAGTGATTGCGTCGATATCTTCAACGGACGACTTTGTATTACCCAATACATTATGCATCTCTGCGTTTGTCATGTAAACAAAGGTGGAGGCTGGAGTGTTTGGGTCCATGGCGTGAAATTCTATCGGATTGATGGTGGAAAATTCGTTGGACATCATTATAAGATTTTTTTTAAAAACTTTCGTTCTGAATTTGAAAAATAGAAGTAGATTGTTCAGTTACGCTAGAACAAAAGAATACTAATTTGAAATCTAGAAAATCAGCCCTTTTTTATCTAAAACTAAGTCACACCCTCGACCAATTTAAAATCTTAAACACACCAGAAACTCTGTCAGTAGGTCATGCCTTCACCAATGATCAAATTATTAGGACGACATTGAAATTGGATCACTAACAGAAAAATGTTATATTCATGGGAGGCCTTTAACGATTTTGTCACCCAAAATTTGCACAAACATGACCAAAAGGGTCAAGGCAGGTATGTCCTTTCTGGGAGGCACCTACGTCAGCCCTCCAAGAAGTGTTATTAAGCTCCTAACATTTTTCTTATGGGTTCATTCTAAAATAAACCTTCAAAGTGATAGCACGCGGCGAGTTTTATTTTGTTAAACAACTGTGAAGATTATGTGGAACGACACTTCTCCAATATCAGGAGTTACTGGACTTTGTTAAAAGTAATAAAG